TCTGGCAAAGCTCAGTTGCGTGACGGACAGTGGTCGGTGAGGACACCCGACACTCTTAATTTCTCAACAATTTCTCTTTTGCTAAACATGCATGTTGCCTTTGGTTATGCATTCCAACTTCTCCCTTTCTTTCGGTTATAATTGGAAGGAGTTTGCATTAAAAAATATCCAGAAGTGTTAAAATATTTAAGACGTAAAACTTCTTCAATAAAGACAGAATGGAAAGCAGAAAGGAGACTGACCTCTGTTTGAAGTCAGCATAGAGGATTCTGCTGGGGAATCCTTTCCTGCAAATCCTGATCCCTTCCAACACGCCGTTACAGCGCAGCTGGTGCAGCACCAGCTCGTGCTCCATGGCACCTGAGCAAATAAGACAACCATTTGATACTTCATGATAAAGCATAGAGAATAATGGCTTTATCAGACTATTTTTCTCTGAACTTGGGGTTCTTACCAGGTGTTTTAGATTCATTGGGGATGATACAGCGCACGAAATGGGGGTGAGTGCTCCGCAGGTTGGTCATCAGCTTGTTCAGGTTTTCCTGTGGGTTTATGAGCAAAGATTTTTCATTTAGAAATGGTACTTCTTTAGTTATACTTCCACATATGAGGAAAGTCTTGGACAGCATTAATGGGTTTGTAATTCCCAACTAAAGCCATCTGAATTTTTCTTCTGCCTTTCACTCTTGAGCATGAGAGAAAGTAATGTGTTTTCATGAGACAGAGGGATACATCCACTGAGCCAGGACATCTATGGAGAATGGTGACTTGTTGTTCATAGCAAAAAGCATAATTTTGGGTAAAAGATGATTCTTTGTGATCTCAGATCCTAACTCTATGGAAGACAATATTGATGTGATCAGAAAAAACAAAAAGAGAAGAGGGACAAGGACCATGTTTGCAGAGAATGCTGGGAAAGGGAAGGTTAATGGCCTTAGGTGCTACTTGTGAAGATACATTTGACAAAGATTGAGCAGGACATAACAGGAAAGACTCCCTGTTCAGTGAGAATGGGGGTCAGAAATCATAGAACAAAGTAATGAGTGGCAGGCCCTGCAGCACCCCTTCATAGAAGTGCTTTTAAAAGCAAATCCAGGAACTATATCTGACTTTAGCTATCAGTTTTACTAACTAGGTCCTAACACATCTCAGTTTAGCCCTGGTTTGGAGCAAGGGCAAAGCTGTTCACGCAAACACCTCTTTCACAGTGTGAGAAACTGTTCAGGGTGCCACATACTAGCTACAAAGCACAAGTGCAGAAACAAGAGAGTTTCAGTCTGCCTTAAGCTCTGCCCATTGGTAGAAAGGTAATTGGCTTTGGCATTTCTCTATTGCCTTGTCTTCATATGTAGAATCATGTGAAAGCAATGTGTTAGGTATTATGTCTTATATATTATCGTGTGCAAATGCACATACATTTGCACGTGCGATCCAGACTTAAGATTCCCTGAGGCAGGTACTCAGATCCACCATTGTCCTCATATGGCAAAGGGAGAGGGTGAAGAACTTGATCCTGCTAACCAGTGTACTTGTAAATAAATAAAACTGTAGCCCGAATTAAGTACTTTTTCCAACAATTGAAGAAAGGCAAGATCAAGATGTATCTTCCTCAGCTGGCCTCAGCTGACTTCCTGTCAGCTCTTTTATGAATAACCAGAGATGTTCTTGATGCAGAAAAATTTTAACAACTGCAGTGAAATGGCTTTGTTGCCAAAAAACCAAAACCAACCAAATAAAAAAACTCAGGAAAAAGTAGAGAGAATGACTTCTGTACTCACCCTGAACAGAGCTGACACTGTCTGGAAAGAAGAGCCCTTCTTCTTGCCTCCCTTCTTGCCACCACCACCACCACCACCACTAGCCTCTGAAGAACACCAAAAAAAAAAAGATGGTTTTACAACTTTTATAGAACGAGTTTGTTCATATGTACCAGTCATGATAAAAATGGAACCTAGAAATCAATAGAGTCAACACTCAATCTGAAGGAACACAGGACCAAAGATATGTGATAATCCAAGGGACTGTAATGGCTGAGTGGAAGGCCTGAAATACATTGGATCTTTTTCTTTATTAATAAATTCAAGCGAGGGGAGGCTCTGCACAACGTGCAGTTTCTTTAGAGTACTAGCTGATATTCATGGCTCTGGTAGAGTCATTAAATAAATATGAAAATATGAATTTCAGAGAACTGACCTGCCTCTCCTCCAGCAGAGGCAAAGAGTAAGGCCAGGGTCTTCAGGGATGATTTCTGATACAGCCCCACGACAGTTTCATTCAGAGGGTCCTTGTTCTTGTCAAGCCACCCAGTGATGTTGTAGTCCACTGTGCCAGCGTAGTGCACCAGGGAGAAGTGGGCCTCAGCCTTGCCTTTGCCAGGCTTGGGCTTCTGGAAGTTGTTGGACTTGCCCAGGTGCTGGTCATAGAGCTTGTTCTTGAAAGAGGTGTCAGTTGCCTTGGGGAACATGCACTCCTCTTCCAGGATGGAGAAGATGCCCATGGGCTGGGGGAAATAGCAAGATGTGAAGAAAGTGTGTAAGGAAGAAATAGAGGCAATGTATGTAAGAGAGAGGAATGGAAGATAAACATTATACAAAAAACCTTCCTCAAAATGTGTAATCTTAGTTTCGTCAGAAAGGGCATTTTGTTAGTGCATATGCCATCAGTTATACAAAAAAGACCAAGCTCCCCCATAAGGATTGGGGTTGCGATGTGATAAAGATCTAGCATGTAGAAATTCATTATGTACATGTTAGGTGAAAATGGAAAAAAAATGAATGAAAGTAGTAGCATTCAGATGTAGGGAAGAGCTTACATTTCCTAAATGCTCTTTCTTTGAAACAAGACAGAAAATAGAGGTTGCTCAGGATATTTACTCACTCAGTATGCATTCAAAAAATACACACCTTTGTGTATGAACTTCGGAGTAGTGACTAGGGCTGGAATTTTTGTCCCATGTAAATCATATATACAACATGACAGAATCCCACAGGCAGTGAAGTAAGAGACAAACGAAAATGTATATGAAACACTTGGAGTTCAGAAAAAATACTGATTTGTGCTGCTTTAAGTGTGTGTGGTCTAACTGGAGCATAGAAGATTTTTGTTACATTTTATATCCGGAAAACTATTAAGTATGTGGGGGCCAATAACCTTCTCAATGAGCTCAATGCAGGCAGCCAGGTCCATCCCAAAGTCGATGAACTCCCACTCAATTCCCTCCTTCTTGTACTCCTCCTGCTCCAGCACGAACATGTGGTGGTTGAAGAACTGTTGCAGTTTCTCATTGGTGAAGTTGATGCACAGCTGCTCCAGGCTGTTGAACTGCAGAAAGCAAAGATTTACTTACTTGTGAATTTCCAGGAACATTTTCCATCTTCCAATAAGTTTTATTTTTAACCCATTAAGGTCTCCATGATTGGGATCTTTAATTTCCAGTGCTGCTCTAATATATCTACCCTTTCAGGCCCTTGCACCATCTGAACATATTTATGAGCTCTGAAAAGATTTGCAGAGCTTGATCCAAGTCCAGCTTTTCTTTTGTTTGAACTTGTACACCGCCAGTCTATTCCCAAGCATTTAGAGGGAATCTGGCTTCAGCATTAACAAAATCTTTCTTCAAGAAAGATTTAACTTCCTGAAAATCTCTGCTATTAATTATCAGTTGTTCAATATCTTCATATCAATTTTCAATGCAATTTTCACTTCTGCGTGCAACAACAGACATCTACAAAAATCTGCAGCCCTGTGGGATACTATATACTATGGAAAACCAGAAGGATGCCATTCTTACAGGAATAGAAGGATTAACTAGTAAATAAAAATAACCCATAATTAAAAAAAAGCACAACCCCAAACCCAAAAATATTCCAATTTCATAATGCCCGTTCCAGAAAACTTGTAGGAAGATCCTCCTCTTACATCAAAGATCTCGAAGCCAGCAATGTCCAGCACACCAATGAAGTACTGCCTGGGCTGCTTCGTGTCCAGCTGTTGGTTGATGCGAACAACCATCCACAGGAACATCTTCTCAAACACAGACTTTGCCAGGGCACCCACTGAATTGTACACCTAAGAAATTGTTGAAGGAAAGTTACCATCCACAGCAAAAGAGAAAGTTCAAAGTTTTTAATTCAAGTCATTTGTTTTCTATCATCACTTGTGTCTTACCTGCTGGACAGTTTGGCCCTTGGTCACGTATTCATTCCCCACCTTGACTCGGGGGTAGCAGAGAGCCTTGAGCAGGTCTGCTGAGTTCAGACCCATCAGGTAGGCAGCCTTGTCAGCAACTAGGGAAACAAGAGTAGAGCAGGATCAGACATTGAATTACTCAAAAATACATCCACTGGAGAGCTAGAGTCATTTCTGCAGAAGCTACATATACATTGTGGTGTTTGCTTATTCTTCCCATTTAATCTATATTATTCACAAAAGCAAAGATTATTCCAATACCTTTATGCTGAAAATGCAAATTTTGAAACAAGTGACTAGACAGACAAAAGGGCCGAGGACCAAGAAAATGGCAGATTGAACAGTCACAATTTCTGAATAAAGAGAATAGGAAAGTGGTTGGTATTGAAATACACTGTACTGAAAATTGTAGTCAGTGAAATTCTACTGTCATTGGAGGGAGAGAGATAGATTAGTGAGGTATTATGCCAAAAGTATGAATCTCGTACTACTTTCATAATGGGACCATATTCTCCCTAAAGATAAATATCACTCCTGTAAGTCTTTGCCAGTTCTCATTTTATCTGCAGTTGGACTAGTAAATACAAGCATCACAGCACTGCATATACTCTGTCACCACTTTCCAATTTGCTGCCTGTCCCATCTCACAGTGAAGCTGATAGCGAGCACCAGTACGATTTACAGAGTTCTTCAACGTGAAAGGCCAAACCTCATTATATAAGATATATACACAGATGATAATTTTGAGTTCCTTTTATTTCATTTTATGTGTTATTTGCAACTAAGTATTTAAAGTACATTTTTCAATAGAAAAATTAACATATGAAATAAGAACAAAACTGGAACTAATGTTTCGCTTCACTTTTGTAGACCAATTCTTTTACGTGTGTACATATACATATATGTAACTCTTTACTGTGGTTACATTCAAGTAATAATTTGTAAGTTATTCTATTATAACTATTCATTAGTAGTTCAGAGTTGCTCCTGGTTCTGTGTCATGTTTGGGAAGCTGCCATTCAAGACAGCAGCAGAACTTGCTTTATTTCTGCCTGACTCCTACTCTGTCACTCAGTGGAACCATGCTTTAGTAGTCACTGGACTTAATATTTTGCATTGTTCAAAATAATCTGCAGCTTCCACTGAGTTGTGTTCCTCCAGAGAACAGTGTGCCT